GTTAACACTCTGATCAAAGATGTAAGGAGAAAAGAGCTCAGTAGTATAGACTATATTTGACATAGTTTGTCACAACTTACAGATAATTTAAAAAGTTTTAATTAGCAAATATTTGACTTCCTTCTCTCATTGAATCTTTTATTTTTCTAAAGAGGATGTTTTAATAATGGACAGTGAGGTTATTGAATACAAGCTAGACTTGATACAATATAGATTAAATTTAAGAATTTGTTTATAATTTTGATTTTCATCTGTTGATCTTTTGAATAGGTTATTGTTTGTAGCACTGTTCTAGGAATAGAAATAGTAGATCTTAACTTGTTGCTATTATTATGTGGAAAATACAACCAGGAGGTGGTTTGGCCTGCTCAAATTAGGTCTGAGACTGTTCCTGTGCTTTTGCCTACCTGAAGGTACACTTTAAAAAATATTGAAGTCATTTTATTTAAAAAGCAGCTCATTAATTTTTCAAGAATTTGCTGTGAATATCTATGCCAGGTTCGGGATTAAATGATAGCCAAATGCTTATGACATAAAACAGTATTACTGGGGGGTATAGTTTCCTTTTAATATGAAAACCAGTTAAATGAGTTAAACTCTGGCTAGAGAAAAACCACATCTGCATCTTTCTCTGACCATGGTAAAGGACATTCTGAACATTACCACTTAAAACTAACTTTTCTCTTCAAGGGTTCCTGAAATTGTGCCAGCTGACTCCAGGTCCACCCTGACCCCACAGCATAAACCATGCTGTGATGTCACAGCTACCATAGAACTCCAGGGTAGTGTTGGGCTGGCCCATGTGGGCTCAGGTAAGTCCTGGCTTTTTTTTTACCATTTGGCATTCTTTTCAAAGTTAGTAACCATTACAGTTTTAATGTCATAAAGGAAAATAAGGCAAAACTTTGAAAACTGTGCCATATATGGGGGAAAAAATAAGTCTGTTTTCTAAACATCTATGAGCCAGCTCTAAATTCTAACCAATGGAGTTCCATAGTAGCTGTGAAGTCCCCAGTGAGTCATTGACCTGTGGCTTCAAAATATGTAAACTCTGCTCCTGGCCCAGCTTACAGAATAATATGTTTGCTTTTTATTTTTTTTAACTGTTTAGTAATATATAATATAGTGGCTTTCATTTATTCTTAGGCCTTCATGTTTTAAGAAGTGTATTAACCGTTTATTTGTAATTATGTTTTGCTATTAGGCTGATTGTGCATTTCATTCAATTTTGAATGTATGATGATACTGCAGATTAGTTTTATAAAATCTCAGAGTGTCTTCAGCTGTCCTTTTGTCTTCATAACATGAAGGAGGAAGGGACAGAAGGCATAGTACTCGTTTGTTAAATTTTAAAAAAAGTACTAAGAGAAAGATATTTTGGCTGGGCACGGTGGCTCGCGCCTGTAATCCCAGCACTTTAGGGGGCCGAGGGGTGGATCACCTGAGGTCAGGAGTTCGAGACCAGCCTGATCAATATGGTGAAATGCCATCTCTACTAAAAATACAGAAATTAGCTGGTGTGGTGGTGTGCGCCAGTAGTCTCAGCTACTTGGGAGGGTGAGATAGGAGAATTGCCTGAACTCGGGAGGCGGAGGTTGCTTTCAGTAAGCTAAAATTGCGTCACTGTACTCCAGCCTGGGTGACAGAGCTGAAAAAAAAAAAAAAAATAGATGCTTCAGTTACTCTTGGAGGCATTGTGAGATGTCAGTAACCTAGCAAACATGTATATGTTGATTATCTTCTCTTGGAACTTTTCATTTTTTCCTGGCCTTTGTCCTATAAAGTGAGATTTTAACACTTGCATTTACTTGTTGTCTTTTCCTGTCTATCAACTCTTCTACCTGATTCCTACATTCTTTTTATCTCCTGACATTAAAAGGTGCTCAAAGTGTAATTACGTGAAGAACTCAGATATTTTGTAAGGTTTTTTTTTTTTTTTTTTTTTCCTTTTTTGCATATATTACGATGCTTTTTCCCTGCTCCTTAAGTAGAAAACATGCGATGGCTAAAACTTTAAATTATATGCGTATGGGCCAAGTCCTATTAAACACCATGTCTACAACAAAAACCTGTCTGTGAAGTAATGTCTGAACTTTCAGAAGTTCTCTTTGAGCAGTGTGCGATAAAGACATAGCAAAAATTGGGATAGTTCAGTGACATTTTCATGAAATTTGATTTGTAATAAATTTACTAATCTTTGTAGCTGAAAATGTACCAGTCACCGAGACTATGAACTTTTATGCTTAATGAAAAGAATGAAATTACATATTCCCCAAACACTAGGTAATAAAATAATTTTCTTTTAAATATTATTTTTTACCTATACTTAAGTGATGTGTGTTTTTCCTGCCTTGGGAAGTTTGGAGAATTTCGTGCTGTCAAAAACTGAGAATAGTCTGTTCTCCTCGTCTTCTGTATGTCCGCCATGCTAGGGAATGGGCAGCATGCCCGTTTGTGGTTTCATGCAGAGCATGGAGTAGGAGGGACTAATTAAGTGTTTTTGATAATTTTGTATTAGGTCAAATAGAAATCCTAGTTGTGTTTGTGTATATTGGCTTTATTGAGATATAATTTCACATACCATGCAGTTCCATTGGAAGTTCTGGTTATATTTTTAAAAAGCACTTAATGAAAGCAGAATGGGTGATGATATTGTACATTATAGTTCCAAAGTATAATCTGCTAATTTTGTTGTGCTATGTAGTCTGCACCCCACTGCCCAGTGCTCATTAACTTCTAATTACAGAAATCTCTCAGAGACATTAGAGAGGAAATCTTAAGAATTTCTGAGATGAGATTCTTCTAGACTTCAGCTATATGGTGAGTTAGCTAAAAACAATAAAGTGATTTGAAGATCTCCCCTTCTTCCAAGCAAAAGAAGGAAGTTATTTGGTGCTTAGCTTTAGATCACCTCATCTTTGTCTTTGAGAAATAAAAAATAAACATGAACACATTAAATACAAACACCTACATACATGCATACACATATATACACATACATTGTACAGCTCTTCCTCTTTGTTTTTTCAGGTAAGTTGATCAGACTCGTGGGTTGTTTTTGGAAGTGTTCGGAACATTTTTTTATGTAATACAAAAAGTTTATAAGTAGATAATATTTTTAGATTAGAACTAAAGACTATAAAAGGTGCATTGATGCTACATATACCTGAAAATAGTCAAGGACTTTGATAAGACTGAAGGGAAAAGTCATTGCCTTCATGCAGAAATGCTGTGGAGTGGAAGGAAATGGCATGGGCATGCTCAATCCTCAATAAAAGAAAACTGCATTGAATTATCTTAAAAGTTATGGGTCCTACCAGGCTATACTTAATTGTTCATTAAATAAGTTAAGCAGAAGTTTTAGAGTTCTTTTTGTATTTGAACATAATAACTGGAAATAGAAAACTCTTCAATCATAGATTTGTTTTTAGTTCAAGTAGCACTTTCTGGTCTATTTGAAAGGCTTGCCCCTTTAGGAAGATTTATAACCTTTACCTCATGCCGTCCTTGATTAAGCTTTACCTTGACTTCTCTAGGGCACACTGTTCCTCATAAGGATGTGTAAGGTGGGTGGAGGCGGGGCATTTGTAGCTGAATTTGTTATATGCGTAGTGAGGTGTTTATCAAGCTACATTGCTGTGAAAATAATTCCTATAAGTAGGCATTCTTAATATAATTGGTTTTCAGCCTGAAGAATGTATTTGTCTGTGTTTGGGGCAGGGGGTCATTTTTTTTTGGAGAGGATCGAAATTTGCAGAAAGGACTGCTTTGAATATTGGAGTCACATTTTCCCTGTCTTTGTACTTCTCATATTGCCTGGCAAGGCGTTCCTGTATATCATGAGGATTCAGTAAATGTGGGAATTATTTTGAAGCCTTGTTATCTTTACTAATGGTAGAAAATTGTTGCATTTTACCAATCTGTTACATTCTAAGGAATATGTCTGATCTAATTCCTATTTCAAGATGGCAATTAAAATACCTTTTTAAAAGTACACTAAGAATATTTTTACCTAGTATTAGTATTCTATCCAGCAAACACATTTGTCTTGATGTAATTTAGGAAGCACGTAGAAGTGTTTGGTCCCACAAATAATTTTTTAACAGTTGCTTTAAACCCCTTTTGTGGTAAATTGGAAGCTAATCTACCTTTTTTTTTTTTTTTTTTTTTTTTAAGCCCAGGCTGATACCCATACTTTACCAGACTGCTTAGTAGACAGTATTACTGTATTTACCTAACATTAACTTGTGTTAAGATTAATAAAATGGCTCAGTGGTAATGGAATGTTCTTTATAGATTTGGGCAGAAGTGATGTTTCTGTTTTCCCCCTATTCTAACTGGATTGTAATGTTTTATTTTAGCACATTTTATTTGAAATTATCTGGTTCAACTTTTACTTTATTAATAATTCTTAATGGGTATAAGGAAGACTTGGCTGTGAGAGAATCTGAAATCAAAATGTTGCCAACGTTTACTTACAGTGAAGATGGTTTCAGTTGCTCCAAGTTGTTTCAAAGCTAAAGAGCAGTATGGAAAGTTCAGCATTTGTTTTGATTCTGCTTTAAGAATGCAGTGTAAAAGGCAGGAGGAGCTCAACACCAGCTGGAAGCACATCCCTGTCTCCTTGGTTTCTGCGGAGTCAGGATGAACGCAGGACCAGAACTAGGGGCTCAGTGTCTCTTGTGGCGTCTGGTTTCTTATACTAGATTATCAATCTTCGATCCAATTCTTACAGTCTAATAATTCCTCTAAATCCCACCAGAGCCTGGAGCCTGCACTGATGGTAAGGTAAATGTGTAGGCAGTTCTAGTTCTGGAAAGAAAATTTTTAAAGGGAAAGCAAAAAACTAACTTTCCTTACCCTTACAGGACATTTAAATGATGCATCAGGATCCAGGAAGCACAGAGAAACACTTAAAAGAGTTTGGAGTGATTGCTACGGTTTGTGTTTTTTGAAGAAAATGAGAATTAAATGCTTTTCTATCTTGATGCTTGTTTTAGGGGTTGTAGAAGGTGATTTAGCTGCTATAGAAGCATACAAGTCATCAGGAGGAGACATTGCACGTCAGCTCACCGCAGACGAAGTACGCTTGCTGAACCGTCCTTCTGCCTTTGATGTTGGCTATACTCTTGTACACTTGGCTATTCGTTTTCAGAGGCAGGATATGCTAGCAATATTGCTTACAGAGGTAGGTTTGGCATTTTGGTTAAATGTTCTTTCATATTAAGGAAATCTGTTCTTTAGTTTTCATTTTTTATTTTATAATGTTTCTCTAAGCAGCTTTAAAATGTTTTGAATTCTTTTACCTCCTTTAAAAAATAACATTAAACTTAAGAGACTTAACTTTTAAGAGTATATGCTTTCAAATATTTGAATAGTCACAACAATGTTTGACTCATCATGTTTGGTTCAAACAAACCTGGAATGTATCTGTCATTCTTCAGTCATTCAATTAACAGATATTTACTGCGTATTTACTGTGTGCCATGCACTGGGCTGAGAAGGGATAATTGTTAAGATGTTGGCTCTTCATTGAATCTCCAGCAAAGTAGAGAAATGAACTGGTAGTTCTGTGCAGCCTGTGCCCTGGTAGATGTAAATGCCAAGCACTATGCCAGTGCTTGAAGAGTTTTGAGGTGTCATGTCGTCTTTCTTACAGCAGGTAATGTTTTTGCTGCAGTTTGAAGGGTAAGAGTTAGGAGTTAGCCACATGAAGTGGATGAGGCAGAGAAGAGAAGTTGAGGAAAGCATTTTTTTTTTTTTTTTTTTTTAGACGGAGTCTTGCTCTGTCGCCCAGGGTGGAGTGCAGTGGCCAGATCTCAGCTCACTGCAAGCTCCGCCTCCCAGGTTTACGCCATTCTCCTGCCTCAGCCTCCTGAGTAGCTGGGACTACAGGCGCCCGCCACTACGCCCGGCTAGTTTTTTTTTGTATTTTTAGTAGAGACGGGTTTCACCGTGTTAGCCAGGATGGGCTCGATCTCCTGACCTCGTGATCCGCCCGTCTCGGCCTCCCAAAGTGCTGGGATTACAGGCTTGAGCCACCGCGCCCGGCCGAGGAAAGCATTTTTACAGGGCGCAGAGATGGTGGAATTTGTGGTGAATCCAGGGACTTGCAGGTAAATAAACATGGCTGAGATGGTGACTGGGAATGGAGAGAAGGGAAGTCTGAAAGATAAGCAGGGGTTGGATTATGAAGGATCTTCTGTGTCAAGGAATTTGAAGATTATCCCTAGGGCCCTGGATGGTGTTAGGTACAGGCGCAGGGGAGTGAGCAGAGCAGATTGTGTTTTTGCTGCTGTACACTGGAGAGGGGCGAGCCTGATTAGGAGGGGGTTGCAGAGGTGCTGGCAAGAACTTCTGCCAGAAGGGCAGAAGGGCAGCCATAGAAGGGTACCCAGAAGGGTAGCCTTAGAAATGGGAAGAGGGTTAGAGGGTTGGAGAAACTGAGACAGGCCCTCAGTCTGAAGAAGTAGACTGACTGATTGGATATGGGAAGAAACTGAGATAGGCCCTCAGTCTGAAGAAGTAGACTGACTGATTGGATATGGGAAGATACAGAGTGGACCTAAGTTGATTCTTCAGTTTCTGGCTTACATAACTAGGTATATGCTACAAATGATTGAGAGAGATTGCCTGTGAATTATTCAGGATGTGACTACATTATCCAGGTTTTTTTTTTTTTTTAAGCCAGAGTCTCACTCTGTTGCCCAGGCTGTAGTGTAGTGGCCCGATCTTGGCTTACTGCAACTTCTGCCTCCTGGAGTCAAGCAATTCTCCTGTGTCAGCCTCCCAAGTAACTGGGATTGTAGGCGCATGCCACCACGCCTGGCTAGTTTTGTATTTTTAGAAAGATGGGGTTTCACCGTGTTGGCCAGACTAGTCTCGAACTCCTGACCTCAAGAGATCTGCCTGCCTTGGCTTCCCAAAGTGCTGGGATTATAGGCATAAGCCACCACATCTGGCCAAGGTAACATTTTTTAATGGTAGGAGAAATAGAGTAAAAGTGCAGAGAGTCATATTAATTGTGGATTCAAATTTTGTCAGTATATATCTTTTGTATATATTTATGTTTATTCATATTTGCCAATATTTGGGAACCACTACAGGGCATTGTATGGGGATTAAAATATTTGAAGGTTAGATGGAAACATGATGGTAGTATTGTGTCCAGTTTGGTAAGATTCCAGTGAAGCTGGGGTGGGGGGCTTGAGAGACTGAAGGCCATGATGAAAACAAAAGGGCAGGCTTATTGAGTATAAATAAGGGAGAAGGGAACTTTTCAGATAGAGGGATCCAGGTTTTAGAATGTGAGATAGAAGAATTAGAGTTTTTCTAGTGTTGAAGGCCTGGCTGCATTTGTGTTGTGGTGCCTAGTCGTGTTGTCTGTTGTATGTCGGAAGGGCCATCAATGTGGAATTGTAGTTGCTGGTGGTGACAGGAGCCAGCATAAAGAAGGCAGTTGTAAACTAGGGTGAAAGTCTTTAGGGGCTCCCCTGAGGTAGGTAGAAGATTATTACAAGGTTTTAGAGGGGCCATGATGAGTCATTGAGCTCCTAAGACAGTCTGAGGACTAACAGTGGGATGATGATAGAACATCAGTATATGTATTGCAGTATCACAGATTATCTGGAAACTTAGCAGCTAAGACAACAAATGTATGTTATCTCACAGAGTTCGTGAGGGTTAGAATCCAGGAGCTACTTAGCTGAATAGTTTTGACTCACGATGTCATGAGGTTACAGTCAAGTGGTCCAGGGCTGTAGTTGTCAAAAGACTCAACTGGGGCTAGAGTATCTGTTCCTAAGCCCACTCAGGTGGCTTTTGGCCAGAGGCTTCAATTCCGTGCCATGCAGGCCTGTCTACAGGGATGATCATGATACAGCAGCTGGTTTCACCCCCAGCAAGTGATCCAAGAGAGGCACAGAGTGCAAGAGAGTGATCCAGTGTCTTTGAAACCTGCAGTGTCTTTTATAAATGGATTTAGGAAGCAATATACCATTACTTTTGCGGTATTCTGTGGGACATGTGGAACAACCCCGGAACAGCGTGGGAGAGGTGGGGGGGGTTTGTTCCAGGCAGAGAGCAAAATTGGTCATGGATTCAGTCTCCATGGAATAAATACTCCAAAGGACAGAATTAAAGGGGCCAGTAGGGAGACTGGAAGTGGGGGAGTCTGGACTAAGTCTAGACTAAGGGTGTGTGTTGCAGAGAATGCTCAGCCAAGTTCTTTTGGAATGAGAACAGGAGAACATTAGAGTTGGGGATATGTATGTGGGGCAGGAGTTTTCATCGGATTCTGTGTCATGGACCCTGTTGGTAGTCTTATGAAGCTTAAGGACTCCTTCCCAAAATACTGTTTTTAAATAAATAAAATAAGAAGTAAATGAGATTACAAAGGAAATCAGTTGTGTTGAAATAATAGCTACCAAAATACTAAACTAAATTTGTGATATATAAGAAAATACATTTTAATATTGGTAAAAAGGTGGGGAAAATGGATTTAACTTGAATTAAAACCAAATTCCCATTAAAGTTCATGGACCATTCCCAAGATCATGGACCCTAAGTTAAGAACTCCTAGCCTATGGAGATGGTTGAGAACCATAAAGTTGAAGAGGTGAGAAGGTGAGTGGCAGGCTTCAGGGGCACATCCTACTTAAGGATGGTGGTGGAAGGGGTTGTTTGGGGGGCCAGGTTTCTTTTAGAATGTTTGTAGTAATCAGGGTCCAGTCCAGGTGGTTTTTGGAAAAGTCTTTCCAGATTTTTGGAAAGGGCCTGAGAGCTAGCTGATTGGAATAAGCTATTTTTGAATTTACTTTGGGGGAGCCATTTTAGCTATGTTGCTTGAGAAATAGTCAATTATATTCTGAAAATATTTAATATTTGGTTTTCCATGTTTGAGTGTTGATGAATGGTTGGGCTCTTGGATTTAAGATGTAGTGAGAATTTTCATGGTTAATAGTAATCTTGGTGAATAAAGTCTAGTAGAACTGAATTTCTATGTAGGAGTTTTTAAATTTTTTTCTTTTAAGACAGGCTTTCTCTCTGTTGCCCAGGGGTGTGATCATGGCTCACTGCAGCCTCATCCTCCCTGGCTCAAGTGATCCTCTCACTTTTCAGCCTCCCCAGTAGCTGGGATTACTGATGCATGCCACCAATGCCTAGCTAATATTTTGGGTTTTTTTGTAGAGGCAGAGTTTCATTATGTTGCCGAGGCAGGTCTTGAATTCCTGAGCTCAAGTGATCCTCCTGCCTTGGCCTCACACAGTGCTGGGATTATAGGTGTGAGCCACCGCACCTGGCTGGAGTTTCAGAATAGGGAGTCAGGTGACTGTGTGGGGTATGCAGGGTTTTTGAAACATTATTTCTTTAATAGCAGTAGCAGTTAGTTGTGTACATATATGATGTACATGACATTATCAGTAAACCTTAGTCTTTGAGAAGAAGAAGGGGCCGGAAGACCTGTTGCTTCAGACCCCACTGTGGCTGGAAGGCCAGGTTGGTGATATCAGGGAACAGGCTCACTCTGGCTTACTCTGGATTTTTTTTTGTCAGAGTCTCTCTCTGTCGCCCAGGCTGGAGTGCAGTGGCGCGATCTCAGCTCATTTCAACTTCCTCCTCCTGGGTTCAAGCGATTCTCATGCCTCAGCCTTCCAAGTAACTGAGACTACAGCTAATATTTATAGTAGTAGTTTTAGTAGAGACAGGGTTTCATCATGTTGGCCAGGCTGGTCTCGAACTGCTGAACTGAACCAATCTACCCACCCTGGCCTCCCAGAGTTGTTGGGATCACAGGCGTGAGCCATTGTGCCTGGCCTCGAATTCGTTTGTTACTGGCAGATGTTCAACTGTGATTTTAGAATTCTGTGTATGTATTTTTGTTTAGATCCACAAATTAGATATGACTGAAATGTAAGGTTAAATTAAATCTTTGCAACATTTGTTGCTATTTAGCATTTTAAAAAGAAGAAAAAAATAACAAAAGGAGAAAGTTTTAGCCTTCCTTTTTTGTTTGTTGTTTTCTTGCTTAGAGGGCTGTGCAGTAGTGCTCCCATCTCACTCCTGTCAGGCTGAGCTTCAGAGGTTGGCAGTCTGTGTTTAAACTTGGAGATGCCAAATGCTTTTTTAAAAACTCAGAGTGGTAACAAATGGAGAGGAAGAAAGGGGGCTTGAGGTCAGTGGGAACTAACCCTTTAAATACTGTGCTTTTTTTGAGTCCAAGTTAGGGTACTTGAATCTTGTGGGAGAAGAGTGTTTGCAGTTTTCCCTTTCTCTATCAGCTGTGATTCTCTGCTTCTAAAGAATGTTTTTATTGGGTGCGCGATGGTTAGTCTGCTTAGGTTTTCTGTCCGCCCTCCTCTTCCTGTGATGTGTGTATGAACAACACCCTTTTCCATAAATTTTATGTGCATCTTTGAGTATTTCCTTGTGATAAATTATTAAATAGAATTACTGAATCAGAGGATAAAACATTTTTATGACTTTCTGAAAAGTTATACTGGTATATACTTTCATTGGTAAGGAAATAATACCCAGTGTATTTTAAGATTAAAGAAAACCTTGAGTTATTGGAAAATTTTGCTGATTTCTTTTAAATACTGTTGTTTTCTGCTTCCATTTGTGGTACATGAGATGAGAGGAAAGTTTCTTTTGTATTTAAGGTGTCTCAACAAGCAGCAAAGTGTATTCCAGCAATGGTGTGTCCTGAACTGACAGAACAAATCCGGAGAGAGATAGCTGCCTCTCTTCATCAGAGAAAGGGGGATTTTGCTTGCTATTTTCTGACTGACCTTGTAACATTTACATTGCCAGCAGGTAACTCCAAAATCTAATGTAAAAAGACTTTTTCATTTTATTATAGTTATATTTGTGTATATAGGTGAAAAATGTTTTTGTTAGAAAGCATATAACATAACTACTACATGTGCATCTTAAATTACTTGATTGTCCTATTTATGCTGGAAGTGAGCATACGGGCTAATTGTTAGTAAATGCTTTTGCTATCTGAGAGGAAGTTGTGGACCTCAGATTATTTTTTAAAAATCTGTTTTACTGTTTTATTTTTCTCTTTGGTTTTATTTTAGAATATCCTTTAAAAAAAACTCCTTTGAAAAATTTTCCCTTTTTCATTCTGGTATGTTATTTTGAAATTAGATAGCTATATTGGTTACCTGGTATTAAGAGATGGGATTAGAACATGAGCTTTTAATGGGTAGAGTCAGATTATTTGAACACATGGCATTCTCTTGAATGTGTCATTCCTTTTTTACTCATTTTATATATTTCTACTATGTTTGTGAAGCAACTTTTCATTTTTCAATTCATTGACAGTTGAAAATGTCCTCCAGAGTGTTTTTTGTCAGTTGGCATTGAATAAATACAACAAACACCAAAAGTTTCTAAAATCTTTAATCTGAGATCTCTTTGTTTTGTTGCTGTTTTTTTGTTTTGTTTTGTTTTTTTGTTTTTAAATTGAAACGGGGTCTTGCTCTATTGCCTAAGCTAGAGTGCAGTGGCATGATCATAGCTCACTGCAGCCTTCAACTTCTGGGCTCAAGTGATCCTCCTGCCTTGGCCTCCTGAGCAGCTAGGACTGTAGGCTCATGCCACCCACCCCTGGCTAATTTTTTATTGTTTTGTAGAGATGGAGTGTTTACTTGAGCTAGATCTGAGTTTTTTTAATTTTTATATTCAGACAAACAGGAATGTTTACAAATTGGAGGAGATAGTAATTAAGTTTTCTGAAATTGGAGGAAGTTTCATTTGAAATGCACTCATTCTGTGTATTTAAGCTTACCCCAGAATGATTAGATTTTGTAAAATTTATTTTTTATTTTTATTTTTTGAGACAGGGTCTCACTCTGTCGTCCAGGCTGGAGTGCGGTGGCAACATCACGGTTCATTGCAGCCTTGGCCTCCCCAGGCTCAAACAGTTCTCTCACCATAGCCTCCTGAGTAGCTGGGACTACAGGTGTCTACTGCCTCGTCTGATTAATTTTTGTATATATTTTGTATAGAGACAGGGTTTTGCCATGTTGCCCAGGCTGGGCTCAGAATCCTGAGTTCAAGCAGTCTGCTGGCCTCAGCCTCCCAAAGTGCTGGAATTATAGGCGTGAGCCACTGCACCCGGCCCAGAAAAGAAATATTTTACCTCACACATGTTATACTTGTATATTAAGGAAAAGCTATCTGATAACCTTTAACGGAAAGGGAGTTATTTTAGAGAAAGTTACTAGTAGATAATTAATAAGTGTAATTAAGTTAAGTATAAGTTATGAAACAAAAGATCTTTTAAGTTTGTTTTTCTTTGTAGATATTGAAGATTTGCCCCCAACTGTCCAAGAAAAATTATTTGATGAGGTGCTTGATAGAGACGTTCAAAAAGGTAAACATGGAATTAATGAGTATAATTTACCTTTCATCTGATCAAGTAAGTTTTGTTTAGTAAAGCATGGTGTAGTTTGGTGTATAGTCAACTTGCTTTATTTTTATTTTACATTAAAGATGTAAAGTCCTGAAGTTCAGTGTTACATTGTATGGTTCACTGTCATAGAGTGAACAAATATAGATAGAAAAATTTTAAAACCTTGGTTCTCTGCTTCCTGTTCCAGAATGTGTATATTTCTATATTAAACACTTTTTAGAAAATAAAACTAAAGAATTTAAAAGTTGATTAAATTATTCTAGAGACAGAAGATGTTTCAAGTACTCAGAAGTTTATATTTCAATTGGTCAATTTTATTTAGGTGTTTATTGGTAAATTACATATAAACCATTTTATATCTAGAAAATAGGTTCTTTTCCCCCATGAATATTCTCTAATGACATAGGTATGGAAATGAACATGTATTTAAATCCATCGTACAGAATTAGAAGAAGAATCTCCAATTATTAACTGGTCCTTGGAATTGGCTACACGTTTGGACAGTCGATTATATGCACTTTGGAACCGGACTGCAGGAGACTGCCTACTTGATTCAGTACTACAAGCTACCTGGGGCATCTATGACAAGGACTCGGTGCTTCGGAAAGCCCTGCATGACAGCCTGCATGACTGTTCACATTGGTGAGCTGGCATTCTGCCCCGTTTCAACCCAGGAGTGCATTGCTGGGTCATTTCCTTGTAGTGGCAGAATACTTTTTATGTCAATTATATTTTCTATGGAAACTAGAGGAAAAACAGTTCATTTTGGACATTAAAATACTTTGAACATGTCCATGGTTTTTGTTTTTGTTTTTCCCCCAAGAAACGAGATAAAAGCAAGAATAAATGATTTTTATACTTTTTTTTTTGCTAAATTTTAAAATGGAAACATTTGAAGCTTTAAAATGCAAGCATTTATTGTTTCTATAAAACAGAAGCAGTATATTTGAACATTTCAAATGCAACATTTCAAGTTATATAGTAACCTTAAATATTGATAAGGCCTTTGCTCATCTTTTTAGGGATTGATTGATTGATCAATCCATCGATGGAAGCAGGGTCTGGCTGAGTTGCTGGGCTGGAGTGCAGTGGTGCAGTCTTGGCTCACTGCATCCTCCACCCCCTGGGCTCAAGCCATCCTTCCACCTCAGCCTCCTGAGTAGCTAGAACTACAGGTGCTCATCACCATGCCCGGCTGTTTTATGTATTTTTGGTAGAGATGGGGTTTTGCCATATTTCCCAGGGTGGCTTTGATAATCCTGATCTCAAGCGATCCACCTGCCTGAGGCTCCCAAAGTGCTGGGATGACAGACCTGCGCTGCCGCACCCAACCTTATTTAATATTTGTGTTCACCTAAGAGGTTATCTTGACATTGTGTTACAAGTTTTTTTTCCTTCCTGAGGGAGTCTTAAGATCACATTCTTTATTTTGCAAATTTTCAAACCCATGGAATAATTTTTTAAAAATTCAGTGCAACAGATCCTGGTATTTTCATTCAGTTGAGCAGTTGTTAACATTTTGTCACACCTGCTCCATGTCTCCATACAGAAAGACTCTTGGGTCAATTCGTTGTAGACATCATGATGCTTTACCCTTCAAAATATTAACATACATCTTTCCAGAACAAGAATATTCTCCTACTCACCCACATCCCCATTCCTACGTCTAAGTAATTCAACATTGATTCTGTTATCTAACAGTTCATATTCACATTTCTCCAATTGTCTCAAAGTGGTCTTTATATATATATATTTTAACAGCATGCAGTCACTGGAAAAATAATTGTTTTTGTGAATGAATAGTTCAGATCTTTACATTTATTTGACTTATGTGTTATTTTCTTGGTTCTTTGAACATTATCTCATTTAGTCATTACAGGCATGAGCCACCGTGTCTGGCCTATAAGTTACTTTCTTGAGAGCTAAATTGTAGATCAAAGCATAATGCAGTATGGCTGGGGGGTGTGGCTCATGCCTGCAATCCCATTGCTTTGGGAGGCTGAGTCAGGCAGGCCAGGAGTTCAAGAGCAGCCCGACCAACTTGTTGAAATCCTGACTACTAAAAATACAAAAATTAGCCAGGTGTGGTGGTGCATGCCTGTAATCCCAGCTATTCGGGAAGCTGAGGCACGAGAATTGCTTAAATCCAGGAGGAAGAGGAGGTTGCAGTGAGCCAAGATCACGTCACAGCACTCCAGCCTGGGTGACAAGAGTGAAACTGTCTTGGGGGTGTGGGGGAAAGCATAACGTAATAGAGTAACAATTTGTGGGCACATTAGAGAAATAAAATAGCTTCCTGGATGACCTGACTGGATGTATATGAAAGCTAAAGAATGAATGTATCACTCAGGTAGTTTTAGTCAATTAGTAATTGTCCTGGAGAGAGAGCGTTTTTGTGCCTCTTAGTGGAGATGGCTGTATGGTAGTATGAAGTGGGTTTATCGGGCTAGGTAAGCCTGATGCTGGTCAGTGCTCTGCCTGTCTGGCCCTCTTGATCAGATCCCATGGTCACCAAGCAGCTTCCTGCTCCTGATTTTCTTGACCACTGCTATGGGCCTGTCTGTGTCAAGAGGATGAGCCTGGTTTGGTTTCTAAGAGAGTGGGTTCTTGGCATTGTGGTTTCACAGGTCTGCCTTGTAGTTTTGGTTAATGTGACTCTGCCCTGTAAGCCAGGTTTGAACTGCGGTAAATATACCACTTTGCAGGTCACCTCTAAAAAGGCGGCCAGTAATCTTTGGTGGTAATTTCCTTTTTTTTTTCTCTATTTTTAAATTATTTTTTATTTGTTTATTTTTTTTTGAGACAGAGTCTCGCTCTGTCGCCCAGGGTGGAGTGCAGTGGCGCAATCTCGGCTCACTGCAAGCTCTGCCTCCCGGGTTCACGCCATTCTCCTGCCTCAGCCTCCCGAGTAGCTGGGACTACAGGCGCCCGCCACCTCGCCCGGCTAGTTTTTTTTGTATTTTTTAGTGGAGACAGGGTTTCACTGGGTTAGCCAGGGTGGTCTCGATCTCCTAACCTCGTGATCTGCCCGTCTCGGCCTCCCAAAGTGCTGGGATTACAGGCTTGAGCCACCGCGCCCGGCCTTTTTTTTTTTTTTTTAAAGACAGAGTCTTACTCTGTCTCCCAGGCTGGAGTGCAGTGGCATGATCTCGGCTCACTGCAACCTCCGCCTCCTGGGTTCGAGCAATTCTCATGCCTCAGCCTCCTGAGTAGCTGGGATTACAGGCAGCGCCACCATACCCAGCTAATTTTTTGTATTTTTAGTAGAGATGGGGTTTCACCATGTTGCCCAGGCTGGTCTCGAACTCCTGAGCTCAGGCAGTCCGACTGCCTCGACCTCCCAAAGTGCTAGGATTACAGGTGTGAGCCACCACGCCTGGCCTTTTCTTTGGTGGTAATTTCCTGATCTGTTGAAAGGCCAAAAGTACATTGTTGATTTTAGAAGTGGTGTCTTTTTTTAAGTGGTGATTGTTTTTTTTGTTGTTTTTTTTTTTTGAGAGAGGGTCTTGCTCTGTCACCCAGGCTGGAGTGCAGGGTTACGACCTTGGCTCACTGCATCCTTCCCTTCCTTGGACTCGGGTGATCCTCCCACCTCAGTCTCCTATGAGTAGCTGGGACTATAGGAGTGTGCCACCACATGTGGCTAATTTTAAAATTTTTCTGTAGAGATGAGGTTCTCACTATATTGCCCATGCTGGTCTTGAACCCCTGGACTCGAGCGTTTCTTCTGCCTTAGCCTTCCAAAGTGCTGAGATTACAGGCATGAGCTACTGCACCTGGACTTTTTTTTAACAAAGACATTTGTGGTGAGTAAGAATTGCTTTGGGGTTTATTCCCACCTGTTCCTCAGAGCTGGCTTATGGGTGATCTTGTGAGTCTGAGTTGTCACTGATGTTTGTATCGGGACCGGAATTCTCAGATGGTTGTGAGTCATTTGAGGTCCCAGAAGTCTAGCATAGAGATAGGGAGATTGTGGGCAGATCTCTTGAACCTAGGAGTTCAAGACAAGCCTTGGCAACATAGCGAGCGAAACCCTGTCTCTACCAAAAAATACAAAATTTAGCTAGGCGTGGTAGTGTGTGCCTGTAGCTCCAGCTACCTAGGAGGCTGAGGTGGAAGAGTCGTTTGAGCCTGGAAGGTTGAGGCTGTGCTGAGCCAAGATCATGCCACTGCACTCCAGCCTAGGTGACAGAGTGAGATCCTGCTAAGAAAAAAAATAAAAATAAAAATTAAAAAAAAAAAAAAAAAAAAAAAGATGGTCAGGGGGAGAAATAGAATCTGATAGGCTAGGTAGGGAGTGGGTACTAGGGTGAGAAGGAACTAGGCTGTTTGTTTACAGCCACTGGCAAGAGTTGTTGCAGCAGATCTTTTAGTCCATAGTCCTGACTCTTAAAGGATGCTTCAGGAGTGAGCACCTAGGGCTGGCATATGGACAGGTGTCCCAGAACAGCATGGTTTGGCATCACCTCCTCCAGTCCCTGCCACTGGGGAGCTTTGCCCGATGGTTTACAGTTCAGGCATAGGAAGCTGCATTGATTACAGTGATCACACAGACATCCTTACAGTACTGGGGTGGGTTGGGATGAAAATTATCTAGTGGTTAGATAGTAAGTGTTGTTGCCATGGATTCGAGAGGTCAAATATACTATGGAATAACCCTTACATAGTTCTTGTGTTGAGTTGCATCAGGTTTGTCCACTGGGCTTGTCATGTGGCCAGTAGAGAGTAGAGTGAGAGTGAGTAGGCATGGGTTTTCTAGGCCAGGAGGGGAGGAGCCAGCATATAGCTTGTGTAGTCTCCTTTTTAAGATGCTCTTTGCTGAGGTGCCGTTTGCACTTAATTGAAATCAGCTGGAATGAGATGTTTTCTTATATAAGATACATATTAAGAACTGAGAAAGCAATTTTCTTTTATTTGAACCCCTCCACCCATCACTTCAAGATAGGCTAGCTGTGCTGTTCTCTTGGATATCGCTGATTGTAGCTGACTCAGGTTCTCAAGTCTGAATATGTTGTACTTGCTTTTCATTGACATGCCAACCCAATTTCCCAAGGGGCAGGTGGAGGCATTTAATGTAAATTGGGGAAAAAAATTCAGTATCAGTCTTTCAGAATTATTCCTTTTTTCTTTTTGGAGACAGAGTCTTGCTGTGTTGCCTGGACTGGAGTGCAGTGGTATGATCTTGGCTCATTGCAACCTACACCTCGTGGCTCAAGCAATTCTCCCACCTCAGCCTCCCAAGTAACTGGGACTACAGGCACATACCACCATGCCCAGCTAATTTTTTTTTTTTTTTTTGGTATTTTTTGTAGAGACAGGGTTTCGCTATGTTGCCCAGGCTTGTCTCAGACTCCCACCTGGGCCTCCTAAAGTGACTGTTTTTGTTATTACGAAGAATCGTCGGCCGGGCCTGATGGCTCAGGCCTATACCAGCACTTTGGGAAGCTGAGGCTAGAGGATTGCTTGAACTCAGGAGTTCAAGACCAGCCTGGGCAACATGATGAGACCCTGTCTGAAAACAAAGAAAAACACAATGAGATACTACCTCACGTGCACAGAAATGGCCATAACCAAAAAGACAGGCAATAACAGTGTTGTTGAGAATTTGAGGAAATTGGAATCTTCATACATTGCTGATGGCAACGAAAAATGTTCTAGGTCTTGAACTCCTGGGCTTAGGTGATCTAGCCTCAGCCTCCCAGTTAACTGGGATTGCAGGCACATGGGCTGATTGTGGTTTTGATTTGCATTTCCCTATTTAAGTGATGATATTGAGCATCTCTTCATGTGCTTACTGCTCATTCATGTATCTTCTTTGGTTTAGTATCTTTCCACGTCTTTTGCTCATTTTTAAATGGGTTATCTTAATATTGATTTGCAGGTTTTGTTTGTATCAGGTCCCTCATTGGATATCTGCTTTGCAGATATTTTTCTCTATTCTGTGGCTTGTCTTTTCACTTCATTAGCAGTGTCTTTTGAAATCAGGAGTCTTTCATTTGATCAAGTTCAATTTATCAATGTTTTTCTGTTATTGCTCATGCTTTTGCTGTTGTATCTGAAGAGATTTTTGTCTAGCCCAAGGTCACAAAGATTTACTCCTGTGGTTTCATGTAAGAATTTTATAGTTTTAACTTTTATGTTTAGGTCATTTTTGTTTTACATTTTGAGGTCATTTTTGTTGAAAGTGTGAGGTGTCCTAAATTCACCTCTTTGCATGTGGATACCCAGTTGTTTCAGTACCTTTAATTGAAAAAACCCTTTCTACATTCTATTGCCTTGGCGATTTTGTCGGAAATTAGTTGACCATACAAGTAAGGGTTTTTTTCTGGACTCTTAATATTGTTCTATTGATCTCTTTTTCCACTGGGCTATCCTCATGTCAGTACCAGACTGTCTGGATGTTCATATCATTGTAATAAATTTTGAAATCAAGAGTGTAAGTCATCTGACTTTGTATTTCTTTTTCAACATTGTTTTGACCATTTTGAGTCCTTTGGATTTCCATATAAATTTTAGGATCCAGCTTATCAGTTTTTGTAAAAAAGACAGCTGGGTTTATGATTGGGATTGCATTTAATCTGTAGATGAATTGGGGTGATGGTGGTATTGCCAGCTTGACAATATTGAGCCTTCCAATCCATGAAGATGGAATTGAGTTTTGAATGTTAAACCAAACTGGTATTCCTGTATCATCCGATCACACACTGCTGGATTTGGTTTGCTTGTCTGTTCTTATGGAGACCCTGGTAGTTTCAGAGTTTAGGTCTTGGGGTGGTGAGGATGAACATTTTAACATGTTTAGTTTTAAAGTATATTTTATTGAACTCCCTTCTTCAGTGGTCTTTGTAGAGTTTTGAGTGCAATCACCATTGAATTTCTGGCTGACTTAGCTGTCTTACTTACAAAGTGATTTTAGGCATTAACCAAGAAATTTCTAACTGCCTGCAACTTTCAGTATTAACAATTTCTGTGTTTACTATTTCTCCTTGAACTTTTCAAAACATTGTATTTTATCACTGTTGCCAAAATTTTCAGACACATTCCTGTGTATCTTAGCTGTCATAAAAGAAGAATATATATATTTTAATTTTAAAACATTTGGAATTATAATTAAACATCCTCAGTTACCTGGAGTATGAAAAATGTTTTAAACTGAGTTTTTACTCTGGAACATTATATTTTAATTTCTTTAGAAAATATATTAATTTACTTTCTAAGAAGCCCTTCATTAAATTACTGTAAAGCTACTTGTGACACCAACCCATTTAACTTTTTTTTTTTAAGTGTAGACGGGGTCTCACCATGTTGGCCAGGTTGTTTTGAATTCTGGACCTCAGGCAATCCGCCTCCCTCAGCTTCCCAAAGTGCTAGAATTACAGGTGTGAGCTACCACACCTGTTCACGTTTAACTTTAATATGCTGAAACTTTTTAACAACAGGAACAGAATTGTCTTTGGTTTCTTTTACCTAGAATTCAGATGTATAGAAGATAAATGTGATGTTGTAAACAGATTAAATGTCTGTCTTCATTTTAGAGATCTTAGTTGGCTTGTTTTATAAGACAGTGAACCATAATTTTGAGCATAATTATTTCTGAATTTTTATATCTGATAGACAAAGAATCGATGTTGTTTTCAGTAAATCAGTGTTAAGCATAAAGAAGGAATGTTTTCTGTCATTGCAGTGGGTTTCTTTTTGGTTGCTTTTGAATTATTAGGTGATCATCAGAGAGCAATTATTTATGGAAAGAAATCTCAGGGAGATGATCTTGATACTATGAACACACGGAATATTTCCCATCTGTTGTTTATACAAGTGATCAAGTAGGTGGTGTACTATACATTGATAGAGAAATGTAGTGTCTTTGTATCCAACATTTCAGATGACTTTTGTTTTTTTTTTTTTTTTTTTTTTGGTAAACTAATTGTAGACAGTCGAAAATAACCAGTCTCATAATTAGTGTTTGAAGTTTGGAAATTTGGTTGTTGGTAAATCAAATTCTGGCTAAAGATGTTAAAGGATGTTACAAGGTATCCGCTAGCGGAAGAGGGAGGCATTTTTCATTTGAAAAATACATTACCAACCAGGCAAAATAAAATTATTGTTTCACAAACTGCTTAAAGACTGCATTAAAGAAAAATGATCAGAACTGTAAATGTTTTATTTATAGAAGGCTTATTTATTTTTTTAACTATCCTGCTTTTTCAGGTTTTACACACGCTGGAAAGATTGGGAATCATGGTATTCTCAGAGCTTTGGTTTACATTTTTCCTTGAGAGAAGAACAGTGGCAAGAAGACTGGGCATTTATACTCTCTCTTGCTAGTCAGGTGAGGATGCTTCAGGTCTCGTTGCTTCTCTGAGAAAAGTGAGCATGTAGTCTAAATTGATTTATTTGAGCAAACCATTCTGGGGGCAGTGTGGTCAAAGTAAAGAATGCTTGACTTGGTATCAGTCGACTTGGGTTCTAGTGATGACTGCTATATATCAAATAAATAGCATAGTAAGTATAGATGGCCATAGCAAGTCCTCACTGCAGAACAGGGGAGAGAGTAATATGTTATTATATTGAATGATTAAAAAACATCAAAAAGTGAAAGCTGTGCTGTGATGGTTACATACACTAGATAGTCTTGGGATGGCTCTCCATTCCTGCAGCATAGGCTTGAATGCCTATGGTACCTATCCAGGTGAGCTCTGTTCTGTCTCTGGGGACACTTACTCAAGATTACTGAACTGGTAGGTACTTGCATTGCTGTTGCTGATCTCTCAGGCCCTGAGGATCCAGTTGTCAATCTTTATAATGCTCCCTGTGGTGAGGCAATACCTGTGTCATGTAGGCAAAGGGAAAGGGTAGTTTAGCTTACTCTGAACTAATTACCATCAATAGGAATGATTTCTGATTAATGTGGGAATGAATTTTTCCAAGTTTGCTAACCCCTTTTTATTAATGAAGGCTTCTTGTAACACGGAACTGTATAGCGTTGTCCCTTAGACTCTTGGTTTCATGCTTTATTTTATGAAGCACTTCAGTATACCAAACTGTAAAGTACAAATATATATACAACCACTCCTTTTTTTTCCATAAAGCACCATGGTTCATTTGAACTTAGAGAAGGAGGTACCCCATCTTTGGGTAATTTGGGCAGGATTCGTAGTGGTTGATGTACATGAGACACGTTATCTCACACCATGCATTGTAGCTCGATGATGGACCCATGTAATATTAGTGGTCACGAGTTAGGTGATACTGCCATTTACATTTGCATGAAACGGGCTCACTTTATTATTTCAGGAGGACTTTGTTGTAGGTAGTGCTTTCACAGTAACTTAACCAGAATGTGATAGTAAAGCATCCTTAGCTGTCTGAATTTCTGGTTCCTGAGGTTAGAGAGTTAGTGGTGAGGTTGGGTAGCAAGGGATATTTCAAAATATGTATGCACGTCTATATAATTTGTGAGTTTGGATGGTAAATGATACTTACATGTAGCCTTTGTAGATGTCTTTTACAGTTTTATTGGATTTATTATTTGAGGAATCAAATGCTGCTTTGACAATTTTTTCTTTCTTAAAAACCTACTGAAGGGGAGGTAGTATTATTTTTTACACATCAGTTTTCCAGGAGTGGTAGTAAAATGTTTTAAGTTTTTGTTTTGTTTTGTACAGCCTGGAGCAAGCTTGGAGCAGACGCACATTTTTGTACTGGCACATATTCTTAGACGACCAATTATAGTTTATGGAGTAAAATATTACAAGAGTTTCCGGGGAGAAACTTTAGGATATACTCGGTTTCAAGGTAAGCCATTATTCAGGAGCATTTTACAAGTTTCTTTGAACAGAATGGCTCAGATGTCAGAAAGGAGCAGTGGACAGGGAAATGTGAACAAGGGCAGTGAGGGAGTGGCTCTTTCTTCCTGTAACTGTTGGGATTTTCTTCCCTCTCTTTCCAGGTGTTTATCTGCCTTTGTTGTGGGAACAGAGTTTTTGTTGGAAAAGTCCGATTGCTCTGGGGTATACAAGGGGCCACTTCTCTGCTTTGGTTGCCATGGAAAATGATGGCTATGGCAACCGAGGTGCTGGTGCTAATCTGAATACTGATGATGATGTCACCATCACATTTTTGCCTCTGGTTGACAGTGAAAGGAAGCTACTCCACGTGCACTTCCTTTCTGCTCAGGAGGTAAGCAGTGTCTTTCTCCCGTGAACTATTTCTAGTAGTGACCTTGTACCAGAAACAGCCTGAGGTGCCTTTCAGGTGTGGTTTTATCTGCACTGTCACTTAATTTCTGAATGTGATTGTATTAATTGCTGAAGATACCAGTTATACTTTGAAATTTACCTTTTCAAAACTGCTGTATGGGGGACACATCAAGGAACTTAAGGTGGTGATGGGTTTTAAAAAGTAAAGAGGTTTGTGATTTAAATACGGCATTTAGGGAATGAGAAGCAAGTTTTTATCTGAAAGCAGAGTTCCAAGAATTGCAAGGCCAGTGTGGTTTAAGAGGAGTAAGCAACAGGGAAAGAGGGTAGGCGGCAGTGGAGGGAGGGAGGGAGGGAGGTCAGAGAGGATAGGGATGGGGTGGAGTTCACTGAAGGCTTTTTAAAGCTTTGGGTTTTACTCTGGATAGTGTGGTAAGCCAATGACTAGTTTACCAAGAAGAGGAACATTTGGGGCTCTGGTGCAGTGGCAGGAGCAGGAATACCAGGTATTGTAGATGAAGGGGAGTGAAAGGGTAGTATAGATCAGACAGGGGAGGTGGTGAGAAGGTACAAAAACAGCGCTCTTTCAGAAAGCCAGTATTCTTAGAAAAGTATTGGTCTTTTATTCAATATACTAGTAATTATCATAAAACGTTTATAATCACAACATGAAGAAAAATTCATAGACCGTAACTTGTATAATTTCAGCTTGTACATAATTGACTAAGTAAACTTACCTTGTCATGTGTTTGAAGCTGTGGCTTGCCAGGATCAGTTTATTAGGACATTTGTTTTTTGTTATTTTATCTAACAGATTACCCTCTAGTGTGCTTTTCTCTTTAGTTTTTTTCTGAAAAATTTGCCATTGATGTCTTTTTAAATTTAACCAGAGCAAACTGGACTTTAAACACAAAACTTCCAAGAGATCAAAACCATATGAAAAGTTGATTGCTTTGGCCTTTTCATGAGTTAGCATACCAGCTGTCAGTTTCCATGTCACATTCCTACCAAGTCTCTGATCTGTTGTATGATTTTTCCCTTTGTCTTCATATTCCTCCAAAAGCTAGGTAATGAGGAACAGCAAGAAAAACTGCTCAGGGAGTGGCTGGACTGCTGTGTGACAGAGGGGGGAGTTCTGGTTGCCATGCAGAAGAGCTCTCGGCGGCGAAATCACCCCCTGGTCACTCAGATGGTAGAAAAATGGCTTGACCGCTACCGACAGATCCGGCCGTGTACATCCCTGTCCGATGGAGAGGAAGATGAGGATGATGAAGATGAATGACAAAAAAATCGAACAGCAGAAGACCAAGGCATCAGATCTGTAATGACCCTAAAGTTAGTGTGGTGCTCCAAGCAGAGTCGACATCATGGAATGAACCAAATCTGGCAGGATCTGCTCGGGGAAGTGTTTTCCTGGACCACACACACCTAATGGAGATAATGCCTCTGCTGCGTGATGGGACAGAGAACTTTAGTTGGACTACAGTTTGTAAAAAACCTAATTTTATTAAGACAGAACTTTTTTTCCTTTCAAATTGTAAATCTGTCTATAAATGTAATGCATGTGGTTGTGTAAGAAATTGTGTAATAGGAAAAGTTGTACCAGCATCTTCATATTATTGAGAAAATTTTTTCAGCATGGGCACTTAGAAAAAGCACATGGCAAATGGCTCTTTGTTCCTTTAAGATATTATTTCAGTAGAACCTGACATTCTACTTTAACCTTAAAAGATCCATCTAAGTCTCAGAGATCTGGAAACGTTTTGTACAGATTATCTACACCAAAACATAAAAATAACCTTTTATTTTATTAATAATTTAGTTCCTGTTGTGCCCAATCCAATCGAGTCTTTTAGGAACAAACTGCAAGAAGAGCTAAGAATGTTTTAGAGTGAACTAAATATAGACATTGCTTACTTGTTTTGAAGAGGGTTTTGGTTTTGGTTATTGTGTCTTAAGTTTTCTGATATGCCCCCTTTCGATATTTAGATATTTATTTGTTGGGAAGAATACCTTAAAATGAGGGTTCTTATTCCAGATTCTGGGCAGTGGTCTGAGTAGTTTTTTTCCTGGATGAAAAGGGAGCAAGCCCACTTGTCACTAAATGAATTGTGCAGTTTGCTCACTTGGACTCCATCCACAATGTACTACTCCCAAATTGCCATGCCATAGGCCTTCGGATTCTTCCTTTCATCACCTCTGCTCTAAGCAAATCTTGTTAGAAGGGCATGGCATGCCTTTGCTTAGGCAGATTGGGAACACCCATTCACTACAGAATAAAGATTTTTAAAATGCAATAAGGTGGTAAATGCATTCTATGAAGAATTTCTCAGTGTTTAGTCTGAGAATTTTTGCATGTTGGTTAATTGTGGCCATTCTTATTTAAAGTTAAAATTATAATCTTAGGTAGAAAAACTTTTTTATAAGAAGTATTATTTGACCACTTCAGGTATACATTCAATACTGGGTAAAAATTTCAGACCTATCTCAGGAACACAGAAATACTTGGTGTCCTGATAAGCACTTTCTAGACTATTGATGTGGCCAAGAATTTGGAAAGATGACACACACACACACACGTATTTTTTTTTTCCCTTCCCTGTGATGAAAAGGCTGTGAAAACCTTAAAGTATTTGCTTCTTTTTTAGTTGATAATGAAACAGTGTACAACCTCAAATTTGCTGCCAGAATGATACTAAAAATAGAAAAATACCCACAAAACTGTCATGTCTTTAGTTCCGCCCCCCAAAAACTCAGTAAAAAAGTGTTCCCAGGATGAAAAGATCATTTTTGCTGCATGCTAAATCTTGCAGGAAAAAATGATTTTTGTAGTGTGATTCCATAGAAATGAATCTTTGATATAATGTAAATGCTGTTTCAAGTGGTGAATGTGTTCTTAAAAATGGGCTATATTGTTTGCTTTCATTTTGGCCAATAATTAGTTAATCGAGTTTGTAGAAAATGTTAGCATTCTGACTACTTAGCATCTGTAGTAACTTTTCTCTATGTATAGGGATAATTTTTTAGTGGGCAGAGATCCTGTTCTAGTTGCCTGTTAAGCAAAATCTGCCCTCCCAATTGAAGAAGCCAAAGAGAACTGTTAGAGGGAAAAGCATGTAGCCATTGCAGTCTGCATTGCAGCAGCGTTGTCCAGCGAGTGTATGCTCCGTACTTAGCTTCTACTGTGTGTCGTGGTTTGGTGAGTGTTGTTTCCTCTGCGCGCTCTATTTATTTATTTATTATCAGTGACCCTGACCACATAGTGTGATAGGTGCAGCATTCTTCCCTGTGGGAAAGAATTAAAGATGGTTCCATTTCCTAGGCTACAGACAGGAATGGGGCTCTAAATGGTTTTCATAGACTGGCTGTTAAAGGCCAAAATTTTTGGTAAATCAATGCTGTATTATGCTCTTGAACTATTAAACAGCCATAATTATTGTCCCAAGATAGAATATAGTCCTTTTTCAAAGATTATACATGGCTAGGTGACAGACTCTGATAAATGATTGACTCTGGATAGTAAGTCATACCTTCGCTCTGTGGACTTGATGGTTCTTTGCATTAGAGCAAACAGAGCATGGCATTTTGTTTTGACCTGTTCTTCCTTGGAGTCAAATTCATATACATGTATATAAATTTTGGTTTGGGCAACCAAGATCTAATTAAACAAAACCCAGGTGGGCCATGGACTCAGACCTGCCTTATGTTTTTGACTCTTAGGTTCCTCGTGTCCCAGACTTCTTCACGTATGTGAAGGTAAGATACTCTGTGTGCGCTTGGCCAGCTCCTTTCCACGCATATTTCATAGTCTCTTTGAGAGTGGTTACAAAGATGTTAAACTACCTTTTTGTTTCCTGGGGTGATAGGTCAGTAACTGTGAGTGCCGTCTCTCTCCATGTGAGCTTGTGTTAATGGACACTTTTATGGTAGAGTTGGGATGGGGCCACCACCTTAGAGTGAGCAGACAAGGCCAGGCAAGCCAAAGGCTGTAAGACACCATGAGTTGTTTTGTTTTGTTTTAATGGGAAGGAAAGTATAAGGAAGAGCTCAGAGGGAGTTTGATACCTGGAATTGTTGGACTTAATTGACACTTAGTATAAAGGTTTAATTCTATTTAAAAAGAAGATCCATTAAATCAACTTCAAGTTCTTAACTCATGGGACTATTTTGCAACACTTCTTTGTAAATATTTTGTTAGGTTATTGGCAAAACAGTTTCAAGGTTCACTTCCCTGCCTTGAACCAGGTCCAGGCCATTTTGCTTTGGGGTAGATTAAAATCAGAACTCTTAAGTTGAGCAACTTTTTTTTTTTTTTTTTTTTTTTTGAATGTAAGACTTAGCTCTAACCCACCATTACATCTTAAGGATGGCATGACTTGATAATGATGGACTTGTGTGAGGTTTTGATTTTTCAATTAAACTTTGTATCACATGAGGTAATTGTCAGCGTTCTTGAGTCTGGTTATGGAATAGGCAGATAGAACCCTGTAGTAACAAGAGTTGGAAACAGGCTAATTGACAATGCAGTTGCCTTAAACATCTCAAGTAGAGAACTTTTACATTAGTGAGATGTACTTGAATTTCAGAACTTAACAAATTTTAATTACTTTTTATTGAAAACTGCACTGAACGCTAAATGTCCACCTTTACAATAAACAAATACAGTAACGGTAACTCACACTAAAACAAAACATACTTCTGATAGCCATTATTTTTCTGTTTGGGACAATTTTTAAAGTTTTTCTTCTGTCACAAAAACAGGAATGTACCTATACAAAGGCTCAAAATAGGCCATCTTTTTAAACAAAAAGGCAATGATTCACAAAAGACTATGAGCAGAACATGGAACTAGCTGATACAAATCTAATAGGATTTGTTAAAATCAGTCACATCTAATACATCTGAAGTGTTCTTGTATAAAATATCACGTGAAGAAAAGAAGACTTTTATCAATGTCTAAAAAAGTGGGTTTGTTCATAGACAATCTGACAAGTTACCATAAAAAGTGTTTCCTGAGACATAAGGAAATGCAACATTATTCTTCTTGAACCCTTTCAGCTCAAGACTTTCCACTCAATAAAATAGCAGAGGATCTGAAACTGAGAAAATATATTTGAGTACAAACAGCTTGTGAAACTTAATACTTTTTTTTTTTTTTTTTTTGCATCATCAGAGGGTTTTACTGAACTTACAACCAACTTGCCCGCTCAGTATGCAGTTCAGGTGTGAGAGACGAGACGCTTCTCTGTACAGGAGCCTGTACTGTCTTCAATCCTATGCGTGCAGGTGTCTACCACAGGCAAACAGTTTTCTCCCCATTTTGTAGTCATGTGATTTTCCTATTAGCAAAAAGAGGTCTCCAGCCCCTGTAGACTTAAGGGACTCAAGTCACAGGATGGGGATTTCCTCTTAATATTTTTTATTTTGTTGTTTGAACTCTTGATGCAACATTGTAGAGCAGGGTGTTCAGGACCTGCTGTGCCCAAGGGACTGAGAAAGAAAAAAGCTCTATTTATTCTTTGTGATTTGATGCACAGATGAAAAACTTAACACACAATAACAGAAGTTGGTCGTTAATAAATCACATCCTAGTCTTTCAGCGCTTCCGTAAGCAGACGACATCTTCAGTTTTCTAGCTCTTGTAGTTTTAACACTGCAACATCAATGATGCATATGTCCAGAATCAGTTACAAAGACCATCAGATTCTTTTTCTCTTAGTTCATCTATTTTTCACTGTCTCTTGGTCCCAAGTGTATCTGAATGATTACCTTCTGGCATTCTCTGCTATTGCTCGTTGGGGTGCTCTCGATTGTCCCCATGTTTTGTGGGCTGGTTGGGAGAGGGCGCTTGGGAAGGATGTGCCACTGTCGGGAGGTTGTGAGTCACTGGGATGCCTCCAGGGATGATCCCTTCCATGGCTGCAGGAAGTCCTCCTGGAGCCACGCCCACGATGCCTGGCGGATATCTAAGGAACACAGAGAAATAGGGCCTAGTAAGTTGAGGGCAGAGTTGCCAAGCTCTTAGCTCTTTTCCTTCTTCTACCATTCTGACAGGCAGTTTTGCCAGGCTGTCCAGGCTGGTCTCAAACTCTTGAGCTCAAGTGATTCCCCCCCATAGGCCTCCCAGAGTCCTGGGAGTACAGGCTACAGACACCACGCCTGGCTAACGATTTTTTTTTTTTTTTTGGAGACAGAGTCTCGCCCTGTTACCAGGCTGGAGTGCAGTGAGTGGCGTAAGCAATCTCAGCTCACTGCAACCTCTGCCTCCTGGGTTAAAGTGATTCTCCTGCCTCAGCCTCCCGAGTAGCTGGGACTACAGGTGCACGCTACCACACCCGGCTAATTTTTGTATTTTTGTTAGAGACGGGGTTTTACCATGTTGGCCAGGATGGTCTCAATCTCCTGACCTTGTGATCCGCCCGCCTCAGCCTCCCAAAGTGGTGGGATTACAGGCGTGAGCCACTGCGCCTGGCCCTGGCTAACAATTTTTATGGGATAGTTTATCCTTCCTATCCCCAAAGCAAGGAGAAGTCTCAAACACTGCCAACTAATTTATAAAAACTAGTCCAATCAAAACACGGGGCCACTAATTTTGTAGCTTTTAGATAACAAGATACTAGCCCGTACTAATTATGAATGTGGATATACTCTACTGTTTAAAAAAACCACTTTGTACAAAATGGACTCCCAAAGTGTTCACCAGTTACTTCTGACTGATAAAATGATTTCCCAACAGAGCACAGTGGACTCTTAGGGACTGAATGTTTGTCTCCCTCCATCCCCCTAATTCCAGTTCAAATCCCACACCTCCAAGGTGATGACCTTAAGAGGTAAAGCCCTTGGGAAGTGACTGGGTCAGGAAACGACTGGGTCATGAATGGGATGAGTGCCCTTACAGAAGGGAGTCTAGTTAGTGCTCTGGCCCTCTCTGCCACATGAGGATGCGGGAAGAAGCTGACGGTCAGCTGCCTGGCCCTCACCAGAACCTGACCATGATGGCAGCCTCATCTCAGACTTCCAGCCTCCAGAACTGCAAGACATTTCTTTACAAGCCACCCAGTCAATGCTACTCAATTATGGCAGCCAGAACTCACTAAACTTTCTAGGCTGGTTGGTTATATACTCCCATGGCCTGAGATGGGAAGTGGTATGCCTGCTGGGTGTTGGCTGCGGGGCCGCCTTCCTCAGAACGCCCAGGCTTGGGCTGGTTTTATATTGCAAGCACGAGGTGCTGTGTGAGGACATACTGCATTCACCACCCACAGAACATAGGGTCCTCAGGCAAAGTGGGACTCAGTGTATTCACACAGACTTAGGAGGCAGGGCATAGTTCCCAAACCCTTTATCATCCAGGTAGAGGAGGCGTCTCACTGTGGAAGCCACCCTGCCATCCTGTCACCACCAGTCAGAAATCCCCAAGACCTTCAGAAGGACTCTGGTCACGAGGGTCCCTTCCAGTCCCTTCCTCAGTGCACATATACTGTTCTAGGGGGCCTAAGAGCCCCGGCTTACGTGAAGGATAAATACAATGGCGACATGAAGAGGTGGGCCCCCAACTTCACCCAACGGGGGGATCTGATGCTGTGATGGGCTTGAAAATACGTGAGGACCAAAAGGATGGGACTGGAGGAAATGTGAAGACAGCCACGTGACCTGCAAGCACCGCATAGCTGCCTCAGTGTCGGAGCCTTCATTACACAAACTGAATGCACCCTGGTCGTCACTATGGCTACAGCAGGGGACGTGTGGCAATGTCTGGAAACATTTGCAATCATCATGAGTGGGAGTGGGAGGTGCTACTGGCACCCCATGGGTAGAGGCCAGGGATGTTGCTAAACGTCCTAGAATGCACAGGCCAGGCGAATGAAGAGAATGATCGGCCCCAAATGTATCTATTGCCAAGAGCTAGAAACCCTGGTTTAGAGTATGTAAAAACTTTTCTTAAGATTCAAGGCTGCAGCTTTATGCATGAAGGGACTACCGATTTCCTGGGAATCCAGCAATAATGTGGGGGTGGGGGTGGTAGGGGGTGGGAGAAAACCGACTCGCGGATGGAAAATACCACAAAAGAAACCATCTCCCTGGGAGGGCTCCTGTCTTTACCCCACTCTGCGTTCCCGAGTACGGCTCGTTTCTCGGCTGACCCAAACTATAGGCGTCATTCTTAGCATGTGGACAAGGTCATTATCCTGAGTTGATTGTACCTTCATTGGCCAGAATGCCTTCCGTGGACGTAAGATTCAAATTAGAAAATGAACTTGCTCACAGACCTGTGCACTTGAACATCTTATCTATATAAGCTTTTCTCTTTGAGAAGCCTTTTTTTTTTTCGGTGGTTGGGGGAGCGGGAGGCGGGGTTATCTCACTCTGTGGCCCAGGCTGGAGGGCAGTGGGTGATCTCGGCTCACTGCATTCTCCACCTCCCAGGTTCAAGCAACTCCCGCCTCAGCCTCCCTAGCAGCTGAGATTACAGGTGTGCGCCACCACGCGTGGCTGAGAAGCCTTTTGGTTCTAAGATGGCTTTAGAATGAAAGGCAGTTCCTAGCACCTGTGGTCAATCACATGTGACCGAACCCACTCCCTTTTAAAATAGCTTCTGTTCCATGAAATTAGGCATTGGAAGACCTCAGGGGGCAGTGCACACAGTTCCTGCTGAGAAGGCCAATTGTTGTGGCCCTGCTGTAGCATCTGCGGGAGGTAAGCTTCCCACCAAGTTTGGGCTTCTCTCCCGGGCCCCGGGGTGTGGTGCTCATAGGCTGAGATACAGTCAGTTCCTCTTCTCACCTGTATGTGGCACCATTGAGCTCAGGATGAATTGCTTGCTGGTCTATTACTGACCAAGGCGCTGATGTGACAAAAAATTCCTTGTTCACACAGTTTCTTAAGCTTTCTGGGATGCGACCTAGGATAAGATGATTAAAATATCATATTATTTTTACAAATCACAAGAAGTTTAACATTACACCTGTAGCTGCTTATGTGGGGAAATAAGCATTTGTAAAAATGTAAAACATCCAAAGGCCCAAGTGCTTGAGCTCTTCAACACTGACCTTCAGCCTCTGTCTGCCCCGCCCGAACCCCTGAGTTTATGTCTGGGCCTAAAGGGAATGGTTCCTTCTCTGAAGTTTAGTTCAGGGCTTACATAAATCAACAGGGCCCAAGTCATATAAATTTGGTGCTAAAAGTGAATTCTACCTGTCGAGAGCCACCTGTAGCCAGCAGGATGGGAGCTGGCTGGACTGTGGAGCGGAGGCTGCCCTTGGCAGGCCAGAGGCACGGAGGTGCTCACCTGTGATGGCTCGGCGGATCTCCGTGGCAGCTGCCTCCCTCATCTCCAGTGATGCCTGCTCGCTATACCAGGCAGTGTGAGGAGTGCAGATGAGATTCGGTGCATCTTTCAACGGACCCTGAGCAAAGCTAGAAAAATGTAGAAAAAAGAGTAAGCGGGAAACACTGCATCCTCTCCCTGCCCTCCTCAGCACGAGGGAGCTCTTGGCCGTGTAGGAAAGTAGCTGCATAGATAGCGTGGATACAGGAACATCTGTGATGGTATTTTATGAAGGCTGGGTTGAATGTAATTATCAAAATTCTGTAAGAACTGTAATTGGTAGATCAAAAAGTCCAATTCTATTGAACGTTTGTCCTGCTCTAATCCAGGGCAGAGATGACGCCTGTCTGTCTAAAGACCAGAACCACCGCCACCACCACCAATTTTCTGCCTCTCCTTTCCCGGATGACCTTTGGGAAACTTCCAGTCCTTTTACAATTAGAATACAGCACAATCCTTAGAAAAACAGAGACTGTAAACATCATCTCTGGAGTTTCCTGCCCAGGGACCTGTTTGGGAAAAGGGCCTCAAGTTCAAAGTGTGAGGGTCAGGTGTGGAGTTGGGCCCTGTGGGCTCCTGGTAGGCAGCTAGGGCAACACGCACCTAAAGGGCTCCGACTCATGCACGTCGAGGGCTGCCCCTCGTATCCTGCCCTCCTTGAGGGCTTGTGCTAAGGCTTTCTCGTCCACCAGGCCACCACGGGCTGCGTTCACAAGGAATGCTCCCTGCCTCATCTGTGGAAGGAAAGAAAAGCCGGTTACAGGCACACTGGCATGGTGGAAGACTCTTGTACCAAGGTTTAAAGAAGAAAGCTGCAAGCCAGGAGTTTTATTGGTCTAAGTGGTTTAATGTGTGTGCTGCAGTTTGCGGGAAGGGAGTGGGAAGTTTTGGTGATGGCTGGAAGCCAGGGCCGTTTCTGCTGATCCTGAGAGGAAGCAATACGGTGGAGAGGCTGGAATGTGCCGAGCTGCGGGCCTCTTGGCAGGCTCTGGGCAGCCTGTGAAGCTGGGTCCTGGCTAGCGCCTGTCCGTCTCTGCTTAGCCCGGCTCAGCCGAGGAGGGGCTTCACCTGACTTGTCTCTGGTGTGCTGCAGGGTCTCTTCCCTGCTCAAGTGTATCCAGAAACCATCTCCCCTGCCCTCCATGTCCCTCTTGTGCCCACAAGCAAGTGCTACCACCTTTCGACAGAAGCTTCCATGGCATCTATTTTCAAATTACCTGCTTTATGGTAAAGTCATTGATGAGGTGGTGGTTATGTTCGTTGAGGTTGCAGTGCAAGGAGACGCAGTCACTCTGATACAGCAAATCCTGCAGGGTGTAGACCCTCTGCACGCCCAGGGACCGCTCGATCCCATCCTGCAAGTAGGGGTCATAAAATATGACGCTGAATCCAAAGGCCTTGGCTCGAACTGCAACCGCCTGCCCCGTGCGACCTGTACAGAAACAGAGCGTCCAGGTGAGTGAGTCCACAGCCCGCGCCCCAGCGCTGCCACCTCCATTGCGTCTGAGCTGAGTCCGGGCTTGCCATCCCTGTTGGTAGCTGCTGCTGGAGAAACTGTGTGCCCAAAGCTTAGGCCTGAGTCGAGCACTGCCTGCGAGGGGCCACCACGGCCGATGTAGGACAGGTGAGGACCGCAGTGCTTGCTGCTTATATTGGCCACAGCAGGAATTTTGTTAAAAACAAAACAAAACAACCCTTCCTTGTTACTGACATTTTCAAACACAATCACAGTGTTCTGACAAGCCCACATGCCCCTCCCATCACCACCCGTGTCCTGTCCCCACTCCTCTCCACACTTCTTGTGTGCATTGCAGGCTTCTTAACATGAGCTTTGTGTTTGAAAAACTTGCTCTCAATATAACAGGGAGTGATGTCCTGCCTCTTCATCGCTGGGCTCGCTCCTGCAAAGGGTGACATGGACACAATGGCTCCCTGCAGGCCGGCCCGAGTGCAGACTGGCCACGTGCTGCTGTGCTCTGGGTGGGAGGCAGGGCAGGTGACCATTAGGCCTGGACCTGTCCCACTGGTGGGGCCTCGTGCCCATCTGCAAGTATGCAGCCTGGGCCTCCCGCCAGCTGTGTCACAGGATGAGGAGGTGTCTCCCACTCCCCAACAGCTGTCATTTCATAAACCCATGCGGTCCCCTCGATAGCACCTCCAGCTTCCCAGAGCAACTGTCAGCATTTTGAAAACAAAATGGTTAGTGTTGATGCTCGACTGGGTTCTCCTGGAGATCACAGAAGGAATCTTTAAAGCCATGGTTCCAAGGTGCAGGCGGGAGAAAGACAAAGATGCGCATTTCCGAGCAGGCAGCCCGTGTTCCAGGGGTACCTCAACGCTGGATGGCTCCTCCTCCTGCAGCAGCTCCATCTAACTGACGGCCTGGCTAGGACAACTGCCGTAGTTAGAACAAAGGTTGAATAAGGCCAGTCTCATCAGGGACAGCTGCAGGGCAACTAGCATAGCAAGGCACGAACCATCACACCGCCCCTCATCAGTGTCACCCCTTGGAGCAGGCAGTACTGGACGGTGGCAGGGACGGAGAGAGAGATGGCTCTCTGACGCACTGGCAACAGGACACTGAGGACCCCAGCATGCAACTGCTGTTCCTGCAGCCGCCATCCCCGTTCATGGTGTCTGTGCACGAACACGCTTCAATCAGCGGGGCTCACACTCTGCAGATCCAGGGCCTGGAGGGCCTGTGGAACAGCAGCCCAGAGCACCAAGCCCAGATTTCAACCGAGCCGACGGGGGCTGGGTGCTATTTTTTTTCCCAAGTTCACAAACCCCTTACTTTATCCGAGATTTTCTGACGACCTAATGACTTAATCCTGCTACTGACTTAATCAAAACCCATTCCCTACAGAAGAGACCTACTCCCCCACCACATCACACCACCTTTTAAAAGCACAGCTCCCACAGGCTACCTTTCCTTCAGTTTCTGTCCATGCCCCCAGCCCCAGGCTGCCCTCTCTTGGCAGCACCGCCCCACCCGCCTGCTGCCCTGAGCCAGCTGGGCCTGGGGGACTCTTGCTCAGGGGAACCTGAGGTCAGCAAAAGCTCTTAGCCTAGGATGGCTGCGGCAGCAACAGTCCTGAAGGCTACAGAGACACCTGGAAAGGGAGCAAGGAGAGACCATGACAGTCCCTGTGCTGGTGGTAGCAGTGGTTAGTGTACAGTCTTGAGAAAACAGGGCGGTGGCTGGGGGCTGAACTGGCCTCCATACACTGAGAGGGTTTTTGAAGTTGAATGACAAGGGCAGAGTCACAGGAACAACCCCGGGAAGAAGTCAGAAGCCCCTGAAACAAGCACTTCCCCAGCGAGGCCCCACCGTGCACCCAGGGTACTCATGACCACATGGCCCCAGGCTCTGCAGCCTGGCCAGAGACCACCAAGGCCCCGAGGGGCTTCAGAGTATACGAAGATGGAGATGAAGCAGCATTTCCGAGCCACGAGGCCCATTGGGCCTGGACAGAGGGAGCCTGGTGTTCATACCACCTCTGCCTTTCCAACAAAGACAAAACACGGTGGGTCCTTTAAAAGATCCCCAGCACCGGGCACTTCAACTCAGACCCCAGGCGAGGCCAGACCCAGGAGATCGTGGCCTGTAGAGGGGACAGAAAGATGTACACTCCTGGAAGCGTCCAACAACTTCGCTCTCGTTCAAGCAGCACCCCAGGTCTAGAGCAGGGCTCGCGAGGAGAGGAGCACGGGAGCGTCATCCCCGGAGGTGTGGAGCTCCAAGCAGAGGCTGAGCAGCAGCTGGGAGTCTCCCGGAGGCCAGAACATTACTGGCCCCGTGTGCACATGTGTCTTCTTGGAGTCCCAAAAGGCAGATACCATGTATCCCACCAAATATCTAACTTACAGATTGGGAAACTGAGGCAAAAAGCTCAGGTAATTCCCACAAGGCCACAGAGCTGGTAAGTAGTGGTGTTGAGATTCAGTGGCAACGGGCTGAGGTCTCCTGGGTGTGGTGTGGACCCTGATGGTGAGCAGGGTGGGGACCTCCTCGAGCCCCCGTGGAATCAGGCTGTTTACCGTCACCTTCTCCTTGGCACCGGCCCCCCACCACCTTGCTGAAGACCCTCCTGGGGCCTCTCCCCACGTGTCTCCTTTTCCTGGCCCTCTCTCAGCAGAGCTTTCCAAGCTGATGGCCTGACTCTGCCACCCCAACCCGGCATTTGAAGGCCTTCAGGAGTGAGGCCATGCCATGCCCATAGTCCAGGTCTCCACTAAACCGCCAGCCCCTACTGGAGCCCCAAGCCTGGCTGCTTCTCCACGACACAGCTCCATACAGTCCCTGCCCTTCACCCCTGCCCAGGGAAATTGAGCGGGCGTGGGGCCTTGCCAGCTGCCCCACAGCAGAGAATGCTGTCCTGCCGGACACCGCAGACAGCAGCGGACACGCATTCTTCTGGAACCAGCCCAGATCCTGCCACTGGGGCGAGTTCCCTGATGGGTGTTGACTCCGATCTCCTACCCCGTGCGACACAGGGAGGGGGCTGGCCCTGCCTGCCCTGGGGACTCCTCAAGAGCAGGCTGGGGTTGCCTTTTCCGAGAGGTCCCCACTACGCCAGCCCGCGTCGGAGGGGGCGGCGATGGATGCAGAGGGTCGCACGTACCAAAGCCGATGAGGCCCAGTGTCTCCCCACGGATGCGGGCCGCTCCCGAGGCCACCTCTCGGATCTGCTCCACACTCTGAACCCGCGTGCCTTCCCGCAGTGCCTGGTACAGCCACGTGTTCCTCCGGTACAGATTGAGGATGTGGCAGATGGTAGAGTCCGCCGTCTCTTCCACGGCTGCAGACGGGATGTTGCACACAGCAATTCCTAAAAGGGATGAGGCCAAGGCCGGAGATGACAAAACCTCAAGATCAGTGGGGAAGCCCCAGGGCTCCCAGCCCGCCCTCCTGACACGGGGTTGTTGGCACGGGGGGAGGCCCATCTTATCGTCTAGCAGACGCGGGGCTGGGCACGTGGGTGGCAGGCCCTCAGGCTCTGATGCTCGGGAGGCTCTAGCCCGAACGTCCGCCCCTCACTCCCAAGGAGGACTTTCGCTCCAGGACGTGGCTCACGAACAGCCCAACTCCTGTGGCTGATCTCGGGCCTGACTGGCTTCCTGCCGGGCTTGTGCTGAGTCCCAAGGAAGGACCTGGAGTGGCAGCAAGTGAGTGGGCCTAAGACCAGACTCCTCCAAATGGACCCCACTCAGGCTCAGACCCCTCAGGGTCTTCCTCACAGAGCTGGCAGGGTGACCAAGAATGGCTTTTGGTTTTAAGGTATGCTAACAGTTTGATGCAAAAAACACACGTTTTAAACATACTTGTTCCACCCCCACATGGATGCAAGGGCTGGCCCTGGGGCGGAACTGATGGCGGAAGCGTGTGCACAGTGATCCTGTGGCCCTGTGTTCAGCACCCTGCTCTGGTGGGAAGAACTAGACCAGACAGGATGGCCTCCCTGCCCCGTGGAGCGGCCTTCAGGGCCAAGCGCGGCTTGGGGTGAGCCCTCTGGCCCCATCCGAGCTGCAGAGACCGGGGTCAAGTATCTCCCAGCGCGAGGCAACTGTGGCGTGGAGAGTTAACCCACAATAGGCAGAAAGGGCCCCGACATTTCCCTCCACAGCCAGAGGGCATCTGGGGAAGAATGAATGAATGCCAGATACAACAGGGGTGCAAGGAGGCAGAGGGCCAGGCTGGGAACGGCCCCTCCCTACCACCCAGCAGGTGGAGAACCAGACGCCTACTTGCAGCAGAGACCAGAGGGCCGAGCCAGGGGTGGGGCCCCAGGGGGTGGGCTCAGCAGCCAGCCTGTGGCTCCCAGTTGAGCTCTCTGAGGAGGGGTGTGGTTGTTTGGGCACCATGTCAGCCCAGGGGAAAAGGTTCCCTCCTAATCTCAGGTTTGGGACCCCCTAGGAGAGTGCCTCTCCCAACAAGGGTTGCCCAAGGCACCGGGACAGGGCCACCTTTAAAGCCAACCCAGGATTCCTCTATCTCAAGTCCTGAAGATTGGAGTGGGGAGAGCGACCACCAAGGCAGCGTCTTGGGCTCTACTGGACAGGAAACAAGAGCAGTGGGCGCCGCAGACCCACTTTCTAGACAGCTGCGTGGCTGTCTCCCCAGGAGGACCACCCCTAGGTCTAGGGTCTTGAGAGTGACCCCCTCAGCAGGACACACAGCTCAGAGAAAGTGAAGCCACCGTGAGCAGGTCACCCACCCACCCAGCATGGCCACCGAGGGCTCCTCCGGGCCACGGACACCTGCCAAGGGAACAGTGTGGCTGACTGTGACTGAGGCCAACCAGCTTTCCCACGAGCTGGATGCCAGGAATCTTGCAGGAAACAGGCCTCGTTCATTTGAAATAGCTCAGCAGAGAAGCTGGGGCTTGATCACATGCCATGTTATTATTAGAGTCAGATAGACTGAGGCCGATGCCAGAGGTTGAAGACAATCTTTGGTGGTTGGGACAATTTGCATTCTTCGGGCGGGCTAAAGCCCAGCAGGGAGGCCCCACGGCAGAATCACCCTCAAGGACACTGGCTCCGTGCTGCGGCTGGGGCTTGGCCATGCTGCCTGGCGTGAGGAGCAGCAGCTCCTCCTAGAAGATGGGCTGATGCCAGCTGAGACCCTGCGAGGCCACCTGTGTAAAGGCCCCCGGGTGGGTGGGGCACAAAAAGGGAGGCTGAAGCAGGACATCCGGTCAGTCTTCTCACCGAACTTGGACATCCAGCTCCTCGGTTCCAGTGCTCACCAGAGTGCAGAGTCCCAAGACGGGGAGAGGGTGCAGGAGGAAGAGCTGCAGCCACTGCCTGGGATGGAAGAACCTTCCCAGCCCCACTGCAGCGGCGCCACAGACAGGAACCTCCATAACCTCACTGCCCTCTCGGAGGGAGCGTCTTAGCTGTCCTACAACGCTCCGTGGATGCAGCCTCCCTTCTGGAGGAGTCAAGCTGATCCTTCAAGTGCCACACAATGGGCAGCTCTGACACTCACAGGCTGGGCCTCCCAGTGTACATGGAGCCCGAAACACGGCACCAGAGAGGCAAGCTGCTTTGCTCTCACGGTCAGTGCCATGGTGCTTTCATCCCTTCAGAACTGCCACTGGCACGGGAACCGGATCAACCAGCTTGCTGGAGGCGGCGGGGGTGGGGAGGGGTGTAGGGCCCTCTCGAGGTCTTCCCCTCGTGTGTCTTCCGTGTCTTCCTGGCTCGTGGGAAGAAGTGCAGGTGAGCAGCTTCCTCAAGCGCTGACTCTCGCCCGTCATTCCAGAGCTGATGGCTCAGAACCTTGCGATCCCGGAATGCTTCACCAAAGGCCCAGTGTGCTGCCTCGTCCAACGTGGAGGGCCCTGTTTTCTGGGCCTGCCAGGGACCCCCTTTCACATCAGGAGGAGGGCCTGCCTGCAGCCACCTGCCGCTCCCAGCCCTCAGCACAAAAGGCCCGCTGACCGCATGATGTGGGCAATGCCTTCAGAGACAAAGGACATCTGGACGGAGGCTCATTTTCTGCCTCCAGAGTCTACATTTGAAAAGTGCCCTTCAAAAGGGCCCCACAGATGTCTTCCAAGCGACCTTATCAGATGGGACCAGGATGAATGAAAATCCACCACTCACAGCCCTTCAACATTTTCCAAAACCACAGTCCCTGGTCCTGGTCGTCTTCTGTGGGTCTCAGAACTCAGAGAACACAACCTCCCATCTCGGCCCTCCTGGGCCCCCCGTCATTGAGGCCCTGGTGCCTTTCTAGCCCCACTGCCTGTGTGGGGCCCTTCTAGAAATGGAGAAATAGGAAGTTCCACAGGCAAGGACCTACCCTCTCTCCCTGGAAAGCAGCTGCTGGTCCAGCTGAGGAAGGTGAGGGTCAGCACCCACGTGGGCCTGGGAGCTGGGACGTGAGGGGCAGACGTGCTGAAGAAGCAAGAGGTGTGTGGGGACAAGGATTTGAGAGCCCCTGGCACATGAAGCTGTATTCTTCTCTGCTGTTCAAACTTGGGATTTCAGCTCTACCAAGAGCACAAAGGACATTTGTTTTCAAACAAAAATATCCTTGTTTGTGCCAGGGAAAGATGGAAAATTTTAGTTTATATTAAACACGCTTTTGAAGACTCACATCTTCCGGAGTGTCTTTGTTCCAATGGAGCGGCTCGGAAGGAAGCCATGGCTGGTAGCAAGCGAGGGGCGTGGGGATGGTGAAGGGTGGATGTGTGAAGCTGCTACTTCCAGGACCCTAAGGGGTCTGGATCTCAGTGACCTCTCTCCTTCCCTGGCCTTTTGCTCTGGGATTTGCCCATGGGCCAGCCCCACCCCACTGCGTCCCGACCCCTGTGAGTACATGGGCAGCTCCACCACGGCCCGGCTCCCCAGCCCTGCTCCTGACACCAAGACCCACCCAGTGCTTCTGGTACCCAGGTGCTGCCCCGAATGGCAGTGAGGGACTCAGCTAAGATTCCGACCCCAGGCTAGGGTTGTGGAGAGAAAGCTGGAGCCGATGGGGGTGGCCTCCCTGAAAACGTGGCCGGCGGTGCCCGAGGGCAGGATTCAGATGTATGTTGTACTCTGCTCAGAGACGATCTGACACCCAGCCCGTCCCGGAAGCATCAGGGCCCGCTGGGGCCTCAGCCGATGGGACAGAGGTGAGGAAATGGCGCTCAGGCTATTCCTGGAGCACAGGAAGGGCTGTTCCGAGGCCAGGCTGCTGTCTGGACCACTGTGCCTGGGTTCCAAGTGGTTCTGAAGTATCCCTTAGCAGCCTCATGAATTTGGGGCACCTGAGCACTCATAATTACGGCAGAGTACAGCTCCCACGCCAAAGTGCAGGGGTAGCATGTTCCAAACAGAGCAAGCACAGCGGCCACCCGGCCCTCTCCCGCTCGATGACAGCGGTCTGCTCCTCGTGCCTCTGCACTCAGCCCTCACGGGCTCACACCGGGTGCCGGGCAGAGGCCCCTCAACACGGCCCCAGCGCCTGTGGCTGGGGGTGCAATGAGCAGCTTTGACGCCCCCAACTCCGGGATCGCGCCTGTGCCTCTGCTTGTCTTTGGAAGCCTCTGTCATCAGCTGTGTTGGGCAGGGGGTCTACCTTGCTTTGGTGCCGACCTGGGTCCGATGCTGCTAGGGCTGCCCTCGCAGAGCGGGAGGCCCAGTTCCTGTGTGGACAGGGGTCTGGAGCTGTGTACCCAGCTGGGGTAGTTTAGGGGATGCACCCAGCAAGCGTGGTTTAGGGGACACGTGGCCAGTCGCATTCTCCCCGCTGGAGGTGGCACTGGGTGTTTCCAGATGGAGCCAGCAGCAGCTCGGTGCTGCCCCGAGGGCAGAGATGCATCATCACAGCCCAGCAGACCCACGCAGGAGCCAGCAGGGACAATCCTACCTGCGCCATGTGAAGGCAGGGCCGGCAAGGTGCTCCACAGCCCGGCCTGCAGGCAGCCACCTTGCTACAGCCAGAAGCGGCTGCTCCGTGGTCCCAGTTCCAGCTGCTTCTCCGAGCCCACCCAAGCAGGGCCCACGGAGCTCGGACAACTCCAGGCAGCCAGCGCTGCCTCGCACTCACCGAGCTCGCCGGCAGCCTTGATGTCCACGTTGTCGTAGCCACTGCCTATCCGCACGATCACTCTCAGGGCCTTGAACTTCTCCAGGTCCTCCCTGGTGAGGGTGATGGTGTGGTACATCATGGCACCCACGGCTTCGTTTAGAACCTGCGTGGGAACAGAGCACAGGGTCGGAGCCCCACCCCGGGCAGCCCACCGGTACCACTGGACCTGGTCTCCTGGCCCTGTTGCCCTTGAACCCGAGGCAGAGGAGTTCAGTAGGAAAGCAGGGAACAGAGGTTTTGGGGCCTGCCGGTGACTCGGGGCGACCTAATGGGGGGATGCTGGGGAGGGTGGGCCCACCTTCTCGTGGATTTCCTGTGTGGACTGCGCGTCACAGAAGGCCACAGTGGCCAGGTCCTTCAGGATGGGCATCTCCACAGTGCAGTCGCGGCCGTCCAGCAGCGCCACCAGGGGGCGGGGGTGCAGGGGGCCGTTCATGATCTGGGGGCGGATACCTGCAAGGAGGGAAGGGGTGGGCACAGTGGGTGGGTGGCTCATCACTGTGGGCAGGGCTTGGGCAAGTGAGGGCGGCGGAGCAGCGAGGGCCCCACCTCCACCCGCATCACCTCCCGGTGAGCCACTGTCACGAACAGGGGCCCCCATCCCCACTTCCGATCCACTTGTGGCTCTGGTTGGAGATGCACACGGCTGCTTCCCTGCCAGCAGACCATAGTCCCAAGAGCCTCAGGACCATGGGGCCCCAAGGCCAGCACAGGATAGTCCAGCACAAGATGGGCCCCCACGCCGCGTGCCTCCCCAGCCGCACCGGCACCAGCTGCCCTCGCACAACGTGACAGGGGGGAAGGCGTTCCTGGAGAGGCCCTGCACAAACAAGTGCCCTGGGCAGGCTCCTCCAGCCCCTCTCACCTGCGCCAGGTGGGAAGAAATGGTGAGTCTGGGGCAGGGAAGGTATGCCTGAGGGCAGGAGGCCTCTGGGGGCTCAGGAGAGCAAACTTCTCAAAGGACCACACAGCAAGCAGCTCTCTAGACAGGCCAGAGCCATCATATTAATCCTGACAGACTTCCTGGTGCTGCCAACAAGGTGAAGGGACAGCTGTGAGGGCAGAGGGGCAGGGGCAACCCCAGGAAGGGCCCCAGTGGTCCTTCCCACTAGTCCAAGTCCAAGTTCTCTAGCAACTTCATCTGGACCAGCAAGGCTGCATCTAGATGTTCCGCAGAGTGGTGGAAGGCCCTCAACTGCCACACCACAGATGCACATGCCTGCGCCCCGTGCACATACAGGGCACACACCCTGCAGGGCCCTCCCAGGACGCAGCGAGAGCCCCAGGGCCTCTTTTCTCTCGCTTTTCTGTGCAGCAAACCCAGCCGGCTCTGAAGACCTCAGAGACAGAGAAGCAGTATTTTCTCCAAGAAAAACTGCCCCCTTCAAATCCATCCTTGGATTTTGTAGGTCCTCCTGACCATCTGCCCAAACCTCAGATCTTCACGACCCACACCCTGGATACAAGAGAACGGCATCTGAGTTCCAGAGGTGCAATCTGCCGAGATGCCAGGAAGGGGCAATGTCTCTTTTCTTGTCAAATTAGAACTCTTCAACCTCAGATGAAAGCTCTGGGGCTCATCAAGCTTTCAGATGTCCAGATCAACCCTGATGGTGGCCTTACATCCCCGTCCCCTCCCTCCCTCCGAGGCGGGATGGTTCAGGCTGTTGCTCCAGGCTGGGCCCAGCCTGGTGACCCACCATGGGTCACCCAACCAGGAAGGTGCGACATTCCCGGAATGGCTGGCCTTTGACCACAAGGCAGCAGGCTCAGGCTCCCACAAACAAAAGCAGGAGTCTTCCACAAAGGCCAGCTTCATCTGTGTGGCTGCCACCTTCCAGCCCTAACCTCCTCAAGGGCCCTTGGTAGTTCCCAAGCTGGCCACTTAGTGGGGACGGTGATCGGGACCCCAGCCATGGGGGGCTCCTGCTGGACCACCAAGGCTCATATTCAGTTAGCCACACACTCCAGTAAGGAGCCGAGGAAGAAAATCCTCCTCCACTGGAGCCTACGTCCTGTTAAGGCTAGACACGGTGCTGGGGAGGGACGGCCCAGGGCACCCGCAACTGGGCCTTGGGACAATCATCTCTTTGAACACAAAGTACAAAAAAGGCTTTTGTCCCAGCCTCAGAAGAATGGGCTGGGGGAGCCAGGGCCACAGCCAGCCCTGCATGGCCCCCAAGCTGTGTGCAGTTCTCCTGCCACCCCTGGCTGGGAGAAATCGTAGTCCCTCTCAGCCCTGAGAGGCAGCCGCACCCGACACTCAGACACCAAGGGCACACGTGCACCCGGTCACTCCTGCTGCTGCCCCAATGCCCAGGTCCCCAAAGCGGGGTGTCCGCATGGATCTGCACCAGGAAAACAGGGCAGGGCAGGGGGGAAATAAGTCAGGGATGAGGGTCAACGCCCCCATGTCCTCGCCAGCCCACGACCCGTCTGGGTGGACAGGAAGTATGCAGCAGAAAGCTGGACGCCCCCTCAGCTCATCCGCGAGATCCACAACAGCACCGTCACCCGACGAGGAACCCGACACACATGGTTCCCACCTGGGCGCCTCTCTGCTGCTAAGAAAATGGTGCAACTGCCAAATTCCAAAAGATTCTCTCTCTTTCAGTAGACTCTTCCGGCCCCCTACTTGAGGTCTGAGGGCACAATCCTGTGGGGCCCGGCAGTCCTGGCCTCATGCCCCAGGCTATCGTCCCTGCAGGGTGAGGAACACCCCAACTTCACTTTCAGGGGTGCTGGCAGGATGGTTACTGGAGACAGTGCCTGATTATAAGAAATCCAAGCTGTTCACTAAACAGGAGCCACACAGGAAAACCAGGCTGGGTGCAAGGTGGGAATCTAGAGCCGCCGATGCGTCTGGGGAGCCTGAGAGGCCATTGTCACAAGATGTCCATCCACAGCATCATCAGTGCATGGATCCGTTACCAGGGTAACAAACTCCAGGTTGCCTAGCGATCGGCTCCCTCCCCGACATGCGTTGCCTTTCTCGTTGGTAAAACCCACCCTTTACCCTCCCTGATGGCCGGGCACGCAGAGCATGGCTGAGGATGGCCCAAGAGACCTGTCCAAGGTCTGAGGCTCGAATCCTGGCAGGAGGTCCTTCATGGCAAGGTGGGAAAAGGGAAAAGCAAATGGGTCCCCATGCTGGGAAAAGATGCAGGGCACGACGGCCGGAGGTGGGGGGTTGGGAGTGGGTGAGATGCTCGCATGTCCTGCATGAGGTGCAGGGATATGGAGGCCACAGGAGACGCCCAGCCCTGAACGTGAGCGCTTAGCTGGGACAGTGCCAAGGGTTGCTCTAGAAAGGAAAGCACCATCTCCCATGTGCTCCTTCAGTCCCAGAAGGAAACTGTCCACCTACACACCAGAGAATTTGGACTTAAATTCAAGCCCCTGCAGGGCAGTCGCTGCCCCTACAGGCTTGCCTTGCCGGAGCCTGGGGCAGAGGTTCCTGGAAGATCTCATATGGAATATCTCATATGGAGAGATGAAGGTGCAAACAGATCCCCCATCTTACCTCACACAGGATTCCTGACACCTGTTTCAGGCTTCTGACAATTTGAGCAAGTTTTTAACATATTAGGATGTAACTGACATATAGAGTAAGATTCATATACATGAAGATGGAACATGACCCTTTCAGGGATGTGGGGTCCCCAGGCCCAGTGGGGTGGGAGGATTGGGAATTTGCGAGGAGAAAGCCCAAGGCACAGTATGTAACGAGGGCTTCCTGAGAACCGGGCTTTATGATAAAAAGCCAAGGCTTCCAGTTGCTCTGCCCAGCTGAAGGCCTTTTCCATGCAGACAGACCACAAGGCTGACAGGAGTCCTACAGCGCTGCTGTTCCTCCCACTTCACAGCCCAGGAATCAGAGCTCAGGGTGGCCCCGTACCATGGTGCGCAACCACGAGGTATGAGGAAACACTTGGGGACAAGGCTCACAGGGCCCTGGTGCCCTCTATGTGCTATTCTTCCCTTCTACCATCTCCCACCAGTAAACCTGCCTTGTCCATTTCAGGACAATTCCAGCTGCAACTGGACACATCAGGGAAACGACATCAGTGCCTTCCTGTTGACAGCCTGCCCACATTAACTGTGTAGAGCACAAAGCTCTACCGGCTCCCCTGGTATCAATTACTATCTGGTTTCGGGCTTGCGTGTGCACCAGTGCGGCCCCGCCCCTCCATCCGGGATGCGCTGTGCACCAGCTCGAGGCCAGTACCGACGCCCATCCCTGGGCCTGGGATTGCTTAGAGGTGCAGCTGCAATAAATAATTGTGAAATGAGAGATGCTCAGTCAAAAACAAAGGCAACACCAGGCCAAGTTGCTGGAGTTTTGTGAACAGTAACCAGACACCTGGGAAAATCCAAATCCGCAGATCTCACAGATCCTAAGTCAGGGAGATCTCAGGGAGGATGCCGGGAGGATTCAGAGCTGGAAAACACTGCATTTCATTGTAGGGAGCTGCTGCTTTCTCGGATACAGGCGGACAGGCCTGGAGCTGACCTCCTGGCTCAGTACCATGCAAGGCAAATGGGATGTTCTCCTGAGCAGTCACCAAGGAGGAGGGCTGATCCTGCCACAGAAAGCTGTCTGCAGTGTTTCTGAGACCCATTTTCCAGTCTTTCTAGACATTGTGTGAGCTAAGCCGACATCCTTTCAACAGAAATTCTCATTATTTAAAAATGATCTAAATGGGTTTCTGTTGCTTGAAGCTCAAGACAAACTACCCCAAGGGAAAGGTTTTGTTGCTTTCAGGATTTTAGGCTTCCACCCAAAGCAAAGCAGCTGCAATGATCATTTCTGACATAGGAGGCAAAGGATGGTTCTGGCCTTTTTTTTTTTTTTTTTCTTTTCCTTTTTTTGAGAGTTTCACTCTTGTTGCCCAGGCTGGAGTGCAGTGGCACGATCTCCGCTCACTGCAACCTCCGCCTCCCAGGTTCAAGTGATTCTCCTACCTTAGCCTCCCAAGTAGCTGAGACTACAGGCACGTGCCACCGTGCCTGGGTAATTTTGTATTTTTAGTAGAGACAGGGTTTCACCATGTTGGCCAGGCTGGCTTCAAACCCCTGACCTCAGGTGATCCATCCGCCTCGGTCTCCCAAAATGCTGGGATTACAGACAATGAGCCACTGTGCCTGGCCGGCTCTGGCCTCTTTTTTACAACTCACTAGATTTTATGGAAGTTTCCTGACACCGTAGCAGTCTCAAGACACCAGTGCCAGACTGGTGGGAGCTCAGGGTGGCAGTTCCCGTTCCTGACAAGGGCTGCGGCTGCCCAAGGACAGACGTTGGCCACATACCCCAGGGTTGCCCCATGAAACCCCTGCAGGTTGCAGTCTTAGGGCTGACAGAAGCCGTCACATTCATGAGAAGAACCACTGCTCAGAGTCACAGCAGTGGCCTTGCAGGAGGGAGCCTCTGTGGAATGAAGGTAGTTGCTGGA